TTCAATTATTATGATGATGAGGAGGATAATGGTGTGGTTATTTAATAAAAACAATGATTTAATAAAAATCAGCAGAATATGCTGTTAAGAAATATAAATCTCACAGGAAAATACCAAATAATGTTATAGAATAATTGAACAGAATTAACCTTAAATTTGATTTATTTAAATTATCGAATTTATTAAATATTTGTTTTACTAAATATTGGTTTCCACTAATTCCTTTTCTATAAAGGTCCATATAGCACTAGTACTTTCTTGAAAATTTTCTAATTGTCACTAAAGATTACTGACTCAAGACTCTCAGGTACCATTTTTAGTAATCCTTGCCAACAATTTTACCTTCTGCATCTCTTGATTGATCTCTATATTGTCTTTTTCTTTTGGAGAACGTGGCATTTTTGTTAATCATTAATATTAATAAAAATAAAAGATTTCCGATAAAAAATATTCATTTATTGGGCAGAATGTTTCACGTGTTAAAATGATCAACAAATAGGTTCCTATTGGTAATGATCAGCGTCCGAAATTCGAAATTTTATTAATAAAACTGACGATTTTAAACACTATCAGCTCCCCAAAACATTATGCGATTAAAAAAGTTAATCCGTGAAATTGAAAGAGAATAACCTAAGCTATTATTTGCACGGTTTATTTTCAAAATTTGTGGACTAGATACAGTTAAAAGTCACATGAAAATTTTGGATGAGAGTAAAGTGGAACGCATCATAAAAAAATTTGATAATATTCAAATTTGATTGGATAACTTATAAATATGTATGGTGCAATTGAATTTCATACGCTGTATGTGGGTAGGGTTTGCCAATAAAAAGAGTGAAAGCTGAAAAACGCAATCCTGAGTTGATAACACTTCTACGTGTAATTCTTTATACAGATATTTTTGGTTTAGAAACAGTACCCATTTTTTTTTAACTAAAGTTATTAGTAGCAATTCCTTTGAGTGCAGCAGTTTTATTTGATTACACAAACCATCACATTTTTAATTTGGAAAAAAAAAAGATTGATTCAGATGCAAGTGGCGTGATCCAACCGAATTTGTAAATTATCTACACGGCACAGTCAAATTTTATAACACTGGAGACATCCATCATCCATCATTATTTATGTCAATTGCCACTTAAAATTACAAAACGGTTTACTATCTTTGCTATTTTTAATTATCAATTAATTATTTAAGAATTAATTTATATATAAATTGTGATGTCATTATATACAAAGAGGTCGAAAGATATCCCTTTACCAGCCAAAGAAAAGGATAACCCAGATTATCGACAACCACTTTACCT